AAATATAATTCACAAATAATATAATTTCTCATTTAAAGTGTACTTACTCAATGGCTTTTAGTATACTCATAGAGTTGTATAACCATCACAACAATCCAATCAATTTTAGAACATTTTTGTTATAAGCATTTGTCTTTTCTCCAATTCATTTACCACATTACAGTCAGAGATCTTTCCAGAATCTAAATCTCATTTAATCAGAGCAGGCAGTGATTAAATGTTCATCAAATTATTTTTTATGTAATGAACTGCCCAGTTTCTTCAGGTCAAGGTTTATTTCCCTACTCAAAACACATACCTAGAAAGTTGTGGGCGGTTGGTACCAGCATTGAAGAGAGTGGGTGAAGCATGAGTAAACCACCTCTCAGAAAGAAGATTATATGTTTCAATTGCTGCATCAATGTCTTCTTTGTGGATCCCAACAGATACTCTCATCAACATATGCTGTGGTCTTTCAGCCACTATGGACAAAAGAGAAGTTTTCACATGAGATATGTCAGAAAAAATAGGATGGGATACATATTTGAATTTTAGAAAAGGATACCAAAGCTTTATACTAATAAGCAGGACAATTATCCACAAACTAAACCTAAAGTCCAAAATGTTATCTAGAGTCTAAGGAGGAATATTAAGACTTATAGCTCAAAGCTATACAATCAATAGAATGAGTAGAAAATGTAGCACACAAACATGTTCATTTCTCACCTTTTCCACTGATCTTCAACAAATAAGACCGCTCTAGCGTCTAGAAAGAGAAAAACAACAAAAAATTTTCAGAGCACCGTTTTTAAAGACAGGAGATATATCATCCACAATAAGGCAATCTCAAATTTTCACTTTCTATAAAATTTTAAATGAAAACAATAGCACATTTATTCTTCCTAGCTTCATCTGGAACATTATCATTGGTACTTTTTTTTAAAAAACTTTTTAAAATGTTCTGTAGCAACATGGTCTCGCTGTGTTAGCCAGGCTGGTCTCAAACTCCTGAGCTCAAGGAATTCTCCCATCTCAGTCTCCAAAGTGCTAGAATTACAGGCATTAAGTCACCATACCTGGCCTCATTGGCACGTTTGTTTTGGCAGAGACTGTATGAAAATTTCTGGAAAAAGCCAGCTCTATATCCATTAATAGCAGAAGTTGTAGTATTCTTCATCAACTTCATCATCATCATCATCATCATCATCATCATCATCACCATCATCACCATCATCAACATCACAACAGCTAACACCTAAAAAGTGCCTGTAACAGACTAGGCACTCATCTAAGCAACACATAAACTCATTTAATCCCCTGATGACTCCTCATAGGGATTAAAAGAGCAACATATACATCAGAGAGTCCTCAGGGGATTAAATGAGTATATACGTTTGTTTGCTTTTTTTTTGAAGACAGAGTCTTGCTCTTTTGCCTAGGCTGGAGTACAGTGGCATGATCTTGGCTTACTGCAACTTCCGCCTCCTGGGTTCAAGCACTTCTCCTGCCTTAGCCTCCCAAGTAGCTAGGACGAGAGGAGCATGCCGCCACACCAGTCTAATTTTTTGTATTTTAGTAGAGACGAGGTTTCACCGTGTTATCCAGGCTGGTCTCAAACTCCTGAGCTCAGGCAATCTGCCCGCCTTGGTCTCCCAAAGTGGTAGGATTACAGACGTGAGCCACCGCACCCGGCCTGAGTGTATATGTGATTTAGAGCAGTGCCTAGTCTGGCATAGGCACTTTAATTTTTTTTTGGAGACAGAGTCTCACTGTCACCCAGGCTGGAATGCAGTGGCACAACCTTTGCCTTCCAGGTGCAAGTGATTCTCACGTCTCATCCTCCCAACTAGCTGAAATTACAGGCATGCACCACTACGCCCCACTAATTTTGTATATTTTGTAGAGACGGTATTTTACAATGTGGCCCAGGCTGGTCTCAAACTCCTGACCTCGGGATATCCGCCCACCTGGCCTCCTAAAGTGCTGGGATTACAGGCAGGAGCCACTGCCTCCAGCCTGTTATAGGCACTTTAAATTGAAATTTAAACTAAACTGGCCAGGTGCAGTGGCTCACGCCTGTCATCTCAGCACTCTGGGAGGCCAAGGTGGGCAGATTACCTGAGGTCAGGAGTTGGAGACCAGCCTGACCAACATGCCGAAACTCCATCTCCACTAAAAGTAGAAAAATTAGCTGGGCATAGTGGTGTGTGCCTGTAGTCCCAGGTACTCGGGAGGCTGAAGCAGGAGAATTGCTAATATCCGGGTGATGGAGGTTGCAGTGAGCCAAGATCGCACCAGTGCACTCCAGCCTGGGTGACAGAGTGAGACTCAGTTTCAAAAAAAAAAATGTTTAACTTAAATTAAACTTATTGTTGGAATTTTATTTTCTCCGCATTCTAAAAAGGAGAAAACAAGCACAGACAGGTTAAATAACTTGCTAATAAGAAATAGAGCAGAGATTAGAATTCAGATGGACAGCAACATTCATGTTTTCAGTCACTATACTATACTGTCTGTCAATGCAAAAATACTTAGAATGTTATGAACTACTTATGGTAATTTATCTGCATAACTTCTCAGAAGTAATATGTGGAAAATTAAAAAAATACAAATAGATAAGCTACCCTTGTCTTAATTCAAACCACCACCACTGCCTTAACCCCACTAGTTCCCCAGGTCCATCCCAACTCCAAACAACTTATGGCCTTTATAACTGTCACCAAAACATAAACAAAATCCTGAATTTTGTGATTTAAGTACAAATCCCCACATATTTGAAACCTATTATTTACCTTAAAGCCAAAGTAATTGTAAGAGAAATCTCGGTCATAGATAATAGCAGAATTCAGGCGCTAATAGGGGTGAAAAAAAAACATAATTAAATTAAAATAATTACTTATTTTCACAAAATCTGTTACCTCTCAGCCCTAACTCCAGAACTAAAATCAACATAGGATGCAATGAAATAACACTAAGTATTATTACTGTAGAAGTCCATCTAACATTTTTAAAAAAAGAAACTATGTATATAAATTAAGTATCCTAATTAGGTTTAAAAATATGTATATTAAAACACTAGAAGATAATACACAAATATATGGTTGTGAGATTATATGTGATTTTCTAAACTTTCACTATTATGTTTATGGTATGTTTTGAAAGGGGGAAGAACATGAGCATAAATGGGACTATATTAACATCCTTAAACATGTTTTTAGATTGACTATTAATCCAAAAGTATTGGTACTACATATTTACTAATATATACATTTATTTTAAAAACTAGCCTACCCAAACCACACATAACAGTATATATAGTGAACAATAACAGGAGGTCGGACTATGTTAATTCCGAGGCTCTTCAAAATCTATGGTCCTTTAACAAGTTTCAAACAAACCACTATTGTAACAGTAAGATTTTATATTTTAATCGGTCATTATGATAGGGTTTTTGTAGGCTATAAAGCCATTCAGAGGAAAATAAAAGCAATTACATACAAATAATCATTTTGGATAGAAAAAAAGGAAACCAGGTTTTCAAAATACTAACAGTATTTCTACATAATGATCCATGTCTATGGACTAGAAAAACCTATATGAAAGTCTGCTTTCCTTTTCTCTTAAAATTTTAAGGTCATCTTTGTTGCTAAAGGCAGATATGGGCCCAGTATGAATATTAGAGAACTGAAATGCTTGACTATTAATATATATATTTTTAAACACAGGTTTTGCTGCTGCTGCTGTATTTCTGTCTTCAACTTGTCTTCAAGATTACACAAATTAACAATACACAAACAACTCAGTTTTCTCTTAGTCTCTTTGACACCAGATACAAGTTCAGAGAGAGAGTCAATTAATTATTCTATTACCTAAAGTTAAAACTGGTCTCTAATCTGTCCAGATATACATGGTAAATAAATCCTGTGTGTAAAAGGGCTGGCTAGGCTACATCTTTTCCCTTCTGACCTCTGGTCTCTAGTTAAGAAAGAGGTTCAAACACAAGTGGATAATTTTTAAGTTGCTGGGCATGAACTTTTAAAATTTTACCTGAGCAACCTTTTTGGGAGTCAGTTTGGCAACGCCTATCAAAATTTTGAATTCACATACACATTGGCTCAGCAATTCTACTGAAGGAATTTATCTTACAAATATATTCATCTATGGGCAAAACACCTACCATACAAGGATATTCACTGCAGTGAAAAGATGAAAAACAAATATTGATCACTAAAGGAATTCTTACACATACAAACATACAATAACAATATATCTATAAAATGGAATGTTATAAAACTGTTAGAAAAAAAATGGGTAAATTCATAAGGGCTGATACAGAACAAAGAAGATATACTTAAAAGTGAATAAAGTACCAATGAAAACAGTATGCACAGTACAGTACCACTGAAAAGAAAAATATATATGTACACACATATACATGTATGCACTACACATGTATGTACAAAATAGCTCTGGAAAAATACATTTTAAAATGAAAAATTGAAGTTGTTTCTAGAGAGGAAAATCAGGAATCAGGGCAGGAAACAGAATTAGTATTTACCTGTATCTTTTGTAGTATTTAAATTTTTTAAAATGTGTGCATTATTAAAAAAGACTATCAAAAAATTTCCACCAAAAAAGTGTTATACATACATCTTTGTTGGCCAAAACAATATCCAATGTCGACTTAGCCACCATGGGAGAATGTTTGCCATTATGTGGATTTATGTAGTTATACAGATCTTCCATTACATCTAAAAAAATACAACAAAAAATAAAAATATCAAGACCACTTAACAGCTAATTCAATCTTCAGGTAATAGTTGAAAACAGTAGTTCAACCCTTTTTTTCATCCCAACCCACCTCAGTGCCTAGCATATAAAGTGCTCAATAAACATATATGTTGAAGAAATCTATAATGCCTCGTTTAAGGAAACAATCTTTTCAAGTTAAAGTAAGTATAAGCTCTTGTAGTTTAAAATACATTCCTAAGGCTAGGCAGTGGCTCACATCTGTAATCCCAGCACTTTGGGAAGCTAGCCTCCCTCAGCCTCCTGAGTAGCTAGAATGACAGGCACATACCACCATACCTTGTTAACATTTTTAATTTTGGAGAAAATGGGAGTGATCAAATAAAGAGTTTGCTTCTAATAACAAAGGAGCAACTGTAACATTTTATCCCAGAACTTGTCAATAAATATTATTCATTTTTCCAACCATACCACCACCAAGTGCCTAAAGATGAGCTTTAAAAAAACAAAAGAGAAGGCTGGGCGCAGTGGCTCACTCCTATAATTCCAGCACTTTTGGAGGCTGAGGCGGGTGGATCACGAGGTCAGGGATCGAGACCATGCTGACTACCATGGTGAAACCCCATCTCTACTAAAAATACAAAAAATTAGCCGGGCATGGTGGCACGCACCTGGAGTCCTAGCTACTTGGGAGGCTGAGGCAAGATAATTGCTTGAACCCAGGAGGCAGAGGTTGCAGTGAGCCAAGATCATGCCATGGCACTCCAGCCTGGGTGACAGAGAGAGACTCCATCTCAAAAAAAAAAAAAAAAAAAAAAAAAAAAAAAAAGAGAGAGAGGGAGGCCAGGTGGGGTGGCTCATGCCTATAATCTCAGTGCTTTGGGAGGCCAAGGAGGGCAGATCACCTAGGTCAGGAGTTTGAGACCAGCCTGGGCAACATGGTGAAACCCTGCCTCTATTAAAAATACAACAATTAGCTGGGTATGGTGGCAGGTGCCTGTAATCCCAGCTATTTGGGAAGCTGAGGCAGGAGAATCACTTGAACCCGGGAGGCAGAAGCTGCAGTGGTCTGAGATCATACCATTGCATTCCAGCCTGGGCAATAAGAGTGAACCTTCATCTCAAAAAAGAAAGAGAATAAAAAGCTTAAAGAACAAAGATCCATCAACCCTTTTATGCAGTAGGTAGGCAGCCTGAAGAAATAAGAAATTGTAGCCCCCTCTTTCTCACTAATTTACATATTCATGTTTACTTTATTTACTGATTTATTTATTTTTTGAGACAGAGTCTCACTCCATTGCCCAGGCTGGAGTACAGTGGCACAGTCTCAGCTCACTGCAATCTCCACCACCGAGGTTCAAGCAATTCTTCAGCCTCCCAAGTAGCTGGGATTACAGGCCCCTGCCATCACATCTGTCTAATTTTTTGTATTTTTAGTAGAGCCAGGGTTTCACCATGTTGGCCAGGCTGGTCTCGAACTCCTGACCTCCTAATCCACCTGCCTCGGACTCCTAAAGTGCTGGGATGACAGGCGTGAGCTACCGCACCCAGACTATTTTATTTTTTAATAATAATAATAAATTAAAAAAAGTAGAGACAGGTTTTGCCACGTTGCCCAGGCTGGACTCAAACTCCTGGATTCAAGCAATTTGCCTGCCTTGGCCTCCCAAATTGCTGGGATTAGAGGCATAAGCCACCCCACCTGGCCCTATTTGCTTCTTTAAACAGTCAAGATTTATTTCTAGTACCCTTATTACTTTTCTGAGAATACTAAATTTTTACTTTTTCACCCCAAACTTACCACTGAACACTTTCTTTGTTTCTTTGTGCAAGTTAGAGACGGCAATCCTGGCTGCCAGGATAGCATAGTCAGGATGCTTAGTAGTCAAGGTTGCAGCTGTTTCAGCAGCCAAAGTATCTAGTTCCACCGTGGTGACCCCACTGTACAAGCCTTGGATTACCTTCATGGTGATCTGAGCCTGCAAAAATAAAACCAAGAATTACTGGAGCTTTCCCAAGAAACAATAGCTTTCTTAAAAGAGGAATTAAGAAAACCATCGTGGCCAGGTGTGGTAGGACACATCTATAGTCCTAGCTACTCAGAAGGCTGAGGTGAGGGGATCACTTAAGCTTAGGAGTTCATAACCCTATTTCAAAAAAAAAGAAAAAGGCCAGGCATTGTGGCTCACACCTATAATCACAGCACTTTGGGAAGCCAATGTGGGAGAATGGCTTGAGACCAGCCTAGGCAAGCTAGGAAGACCCCCAACTCCACAAATAATAAAAAAAAAATTAGCTGGGTGTGGTGGTACACACCTGTGATCCCAGCTACTCAGGAAGCTGAGGCTGCAGTGAGCTGTGATCATGCCACTGCACTCCAGCCTGGGCAAGAGTGAGACCTTGTCTCAAAAAAATAAAAGGAAAGAAAACAATCAAATTCACATCACAATAAAAATGACAGATTGGCACAGTGGCTCACACCTGTAATCCCGACAGTTTGGGAGGCTGAGGCAGGAGGCTCACTTAAGCCCAGGAGTTTGAGACAAACCCCGGGCAATGTAACGAGACCCCCATCCCTACTAAAAATAAAAAAATTAGCCAGTCATGGTGGTAAGCACCTGTGATTGCAGCCAAAGAGGAAGTTGAGGTGGAAGGATTGCTTGAGCTGGGGAGGTCAAGGCTGCACTGAGCTATCTATGATCATGGCACTGTATTCCAGCCTGGGCGACACAGTGAGACCCTGTCTCAAACAAAAAACAAAACAATTTACTTCTCTGAAAAATTATCTTTCAGAATGGTGGGCAGTGGGAAACTTAGTAATGAGAATGCATAAACCAGAAGAACTATCAGAAAATATAACTACATATAAATTAAAGGTGTCATTAAAAAAAAAAAATCTAAGTATAGCCTTTAAATCAATTAGTCTCACAGGGAAATAGCTGAAAACGGACTAATGATCCTATGAGTATTTCCCTATTTTTCATTCAAATTCTCCCAACGAACTAATGATTCTATATAAGTGTTTCCCCATTTTTCATTCAGATACTCCTTATGTGATCAGGGCTCCAGCTCCATACTTACTTTTCCCAATTCCATATAAGGATAAGCACAGAAAAGCAAATGAATCAAATTTTAATCATGCCAATTAAGGGAGACTGAAGTATAAATTAGGTTTAGGGCTCAGTCATGATAATTTAATGACTACTCTTTCTTTAGCACTTCATAAATTACAAAGTGTTTCAACTTTGATAATCTCTGACATTTCATAATCACCTTATGATATGATTATTACTATACCTACCTTACATGAAGAACCTGAGGCTCACGTTACTGGGACTTGCCCAAGGTTATATTATTATACAAGTCTTCTGGCCCCAAACCCATTAAACCTCACTGCATTTCACTGTTTTCAAGGCCACGTTATAAGCTCCAGTTTTTAAGACATATAACGCACAAGGTATTAGCATACATTTTTAAGGAAAACAAATTCTAAGTTGTGTTTATTGAATCTTTAAGAAACTGCTTAATCCAACAGAAAATAAATGTATTTCCCAGCATAACAATGTATACCCCCCTCAAAAAAAGACACAGGTTCGTAACTATTTTAATAGTCTGCAATCTTTTCTGATTAAAATATAGCTAAGCCCAAGTTGCTCCTGATCACTTTCTTCCCAGATCCAGCAGATAAGGTATGTTCGGTGTAAGAGCAGTGAAGTTTTCTAAACAGTTTCTGGTGCGATATGGCAAACAATTAGAACTCAGAATAAAATATCATCTGTGTGCTAACTGTACCAGATATAACAGCATGCGCCGTTTTTCTTTTTTTCTTTTTGAGACAGGGTCTCATTCTGTGGCCTAGGCTAGAGTATAGTGGCACAATCTCACCAAGCAGCTGGGACTACTGGCATGCACCATGACACCCAGCTCATTTTTTTTTTTTTTTTTTTTTTTGTAGAAACAGGAGGGTTGAGGCTGGGCTCAGTGTGGCTTACACCTCTAATCTTAGCACTTTGGGAGGCCAAAGCAGGCAGATCACTTGAGGCCAGGAGCTCGAGACCAGCCTGGCCAACATGGCAAAACCCTGTCTCTACTAAAAATAAAAATTTTAAAAATTAAAAAAAAAAAAAAAATTAGCCAGGTGTGGTGGTACATGTCTGTAATCCCAGCTGAGGGAGGCTGAGGCACGAGAATCATTTGAACCAAGGGGGCAAAGGCTGCAGTGAGCCAAGATTGCGCCACTGCACCTGGGCAGTTTTACCACATTGCCCAGGCTGGTCTCAAACTCCTGAGCCCAAGCAATCCGCCTACCTCGGTCTCCCAAAGTACTGGGATTACAGACGAGCACTGACCGTTTTTCAACAGAATCTATCCTAGGAAGTTTGAGGCTGCTACAACACTTCTGCACTCTAAAATGTACTACTGCATGAGGCAAGAGAACATGTATTAGTCAAGAGACCTAGGTGCTTCTCCCTACGCTTCCACTAACTTAAGTCACTCCCTTCTCTCTTTGGAACTTTCTTATCTATAAAACAAAGATGAAATAGGATGGGTTCTTAGGTTCATTCCAACTCTAACATTCTACTATTCTAATTATTGTCTAAGTCTTCAATGTAAAAGATGATTTACAATAAGCGTATTTTAAAGCTGCATAAAATCATTTTTTCTTGAACAAACTTACTTTGGTCAAGTGTCTAATTAGATACATGTTAAGCACTGAGGATATCATAAGAATATGATACAGCCCATCCTCAATCCTAGGGGAGGACAAAGACCTATAATTAATTTCCATATTATATGATTAAAGCTATGAGATGAGCACAAGTTTTACAGCAGTACAGATAAAATACCTAAATAAGGAGATGGAAATACGGGTGGATTTGAAAAAAAGAGTTCTTAGAGATTCTCATTTGAGGAAGATCATTTTAGAAGTCAGGTAGAAGATGGATTTGAAGAGGGCAAGATTAGAGGAAGGCCAGGACACTGCAAAGACCACAGAAAACAGTCCAGATGACTGATGAGAGTCTAGAAAATAGAAGTTATAAAAGATAAGGACAAAAGCAGAACAACTCATTTATGAATAGTTTGTTGTTTACTTAAATATTGTCTATGAAATCTACTTTATATTACTTAAATATTTTTACATAAATAACAAAAAGCAAATTTCAAACCAGTCCCTACCTAAATAACAATTCCAAAACAAGCTTTACTCTAGGCTGTGTGTGTGTGTGTGTGTGTGTGTGTGTGTGAGAGAGAGAGAGAGAGAGGCAGTCTCACTCTGTCACCCAGGCTAAAGTGCAGTGGCACAATCTTAGCTTATTGCAACCTCTGCCTCCCAGGTTCAAGCGATTCTCCTGTCTCAGCCTCCCAAGTAGCTGGGATTGCAGGCACCCATCACCATGCCCAGCTAATTTTTGTATTTTTAGTAGAGACAGGGTTTCACTATGTTGGCCAGGCTGGTCTCGAACTCCTGACCTCAGATGATCCACCAGTCTTAGCCTCCCAAAGTCATGAGATAACAGGCGTGAGCCACCTCAGGTGGCCTAGGCTTTTCCACTAATGAATAAAACAATTTACTCAAAAAAAATCTGCTATTAAATGTTAATATCAAATTTTCCCCTTTATTCACATTCGTAGTTCTCTGAAAAGTGAGAGAACTTAACCAAAATTAAGAAAAAAAAATGTTTTAAGCAATGAATTTGTTTTAAGAAAAAATTTTGTATCAAAGGACATAGCCAGAATACCAAACCAAAGTGTATCAGGTGAGTGAAGGTCCAGGAATAAGAGACAAACGGGAATAAACACATGAAACAAGGGACCCAATATAAAAACCACATTTACTTACAGGATCAACAAAATCCATATTGAGTCCATAACAAAGCTTCTGGATTCGAGATGTAATTTTGTCAAACATGACTCGCTCTTGGCGGCCATCTGAAGAATCAAACCATGTTAGCAATTATTAAATTCATATTAGCAATTATTAAGACTACGATGTCAAAGAATCAAATGTAATTAACATGTAAATTGACCAACATGAATGCTATTTCACAGATAAGATTCAGACCCCCTCAAAAGATTCATGAAGAGATTATCCTCTCTGATGTCACCTTCAAAAAGTATGAATTCTATACAGACAGATCTATTTACAGACAACTTCTTAAATTTTTCCCCCATCCCACATGGCAGCCAAAATTATCCTTTAAAAGTTAAACTCAGAATCATACCATTACTTCCCTTGAAATTCCTAATAGTGACTTATCTCCAGAATAAAAATCAAAATTGTTAAAACAATCCACAAAATCCTGTACAACCTGTCCTGTGCACCCACCTCCCAATTTTACCTCTAACTCTCCCACCTTCCTTCCTATTCTACCTTGACAACCTGCCTTCTTGCTATATACCTCCTTTAGGTCTATGCTCAATGTCATCAACTTCTCAGTGAGGCTTCCCCTGATGACTTCATTTTAAATTGCAATGCCCCAAATAGGACGCTTGCTCTTCATATCCCTATTCCCCTTCTGTGCTTTTTCTCCGCAGCACTTATCCCATCTGACATACTACATATTTTACCTAATATTTTTCATGACTTTGGACTTAGATTATATCCCTCTTTGTCCTTCTAGACAAAAAGTCTCACTACTCTTAGTTTAACCTCAAACAGTAGCTCATCCAACCTTTATTTAGTCTTACCAGGAATAGTGAATATACCCAACCATCAAACAGTCTTAACCTTAGGCAAGTCACAAAACATGATCAGTCATTTCACAGATCTTCATTTGTAGAAAGGGGTTAATTATTGTTATCCATTCTACTTACCTCATCAGTTTACTATGACAGTAAAATGAGATTAGGTAAAAAGTACTGTTGTTGTAACAACTTTGGCATAGTTGCAACTATGATATCTCATTATAAAATAAAGCTGCTCGCTGGGCATGGTAGCTCACGCCTGTAATCCCAGCACTTGGAGCGGATTACAAGGTCAGGAGATCGAGACCATCCTGGCCAAAAAGGTGAAACCCCATCTCTACTAAAATACAAAAAATTAGCCTGGCATGGTGCTACATGCCTGTAGTCCCGGCTACTTGGGAGGCTGAGGCAGGGGAATCACTTGAACACGGGAGGCGGAGATTACAGTGAGCCGAGATCGCACCACTGCACTCCAGCCTGGCGACAGAGTAAGACTCTGCCTCAAAAAAAATAAACAAAACAAAGCTGTTCTTAAGGGGGAAAAAAAATCATAGTATGTGACACACAATAGACACTCAATAAATGTTAGTCTCTCGCGCTGATTTAGTTTTTGTTAAAAAACTATGGGGAAAAAAATCACAGTATGTGATACACAATAGGCACTCAATAAATGTTAGTGTCTCGCACTGATTTGGTTTTTTTCTCCTTTGTGCACCTACAACCCATGGTAACTATAGGCTGAATATCCTTAATCCAAAATTCCAAAATCGAAAACACTCCAAAATCCAAAACTTTTTGAATGCCAACACGATTTTCAAAGGAAATGCTCCTTGGACCATTTCAGATTTTGGATTTTCTGATTAGGGATGCCAATCAGTAAGTATAATGTAAATATTCCAAAATCTGAAACAAATCCAACAACTGAAACACTTCTAGGCCCAAGCATTTTGGATAAGGGATGCTCAACTTGAAGTAACTAATAAGCAACAGGTTAAATATGTTTACATTTAGCCCTCTCACTCACATCTGTATTCTCAAATTTAGTGCCCAGAACAAGGTTAAGTTCTCAAACATTTGATGAAGAATGATTGAACAATACATCACTATTAACCCATCTTCACTAGAACAAGTTGCTTTTCTTCTGCACTGATATGTTAGCCCTTCTCTTTCTAATCACCATTGTGATAATTTTCTGATCAGACTCACATCTGCAGCGTTTAACTCTGGAACAAGTAAATTAACTGGCTGGCCCTGGGACTGAAACCTCAGTGCTCTAACAATTGGCTACCTAAGCAGGCAGGTAACCACAAAGCGACATTAGTGTTCTGCAATTATACATGCAATTGGGAAGAGGGGGATGAGAAGCAACTTAGCAAACAGAAAATTCTACAACCACCGGAAGTTCTGAAGTCATTCAGGAAACTGACAAAAAAGTGCATTGGTAATTAATCTTAACTCACACTTGAGAATAGCAGGCAGACTAATGACCTAAGGTCCAATGACATACTATTCCCTATTCTGTTATTCCACTTGGTTAGCTTTTCAAGCCAGATGTTGATTTTATCACCTCACTAATCCCTGCTTCTCATTGCCTACATTATTCTCTTCTCTCTTCTCAAGCAAAGCCTTTCTTAATTTGGCCCCAGATCTCTTCTACCGTTCCCTGTGAAATATAAGTCTCAAGGGGGCTTCCCATTCCCATATCCACATCATTGCTTATACCTTACTCTGCCTAAAAGTCCTCTTCCATCTTTCCACACATCTAACTCCTACTCACCCTCCAAATCTCACACTTCCCTAAAACCTGCCCCAACCATTTTTAACTCACACTGACCTCTTCCTCCTAAAATCCTCTAGCCAGCCGGGCACAGTGGCTCATGCTTGTAATCCTAGCACTTTGGGAGGCTGAGGCAGGCAGATCACCTGAGGTCAGTAGTTCAAGAACAGCCTGGTCAAGATGGTGAAACCCCATGTCTACTAAAAATACAAAAAAAAATTATCTGGCTGTGCTGGCAGACACCTGTAATCCCAGCTACTCAAGAAGCTGAGGCAGGAGAATCGCTTGAACCCAGGAGGCAGAGGTTGCAGTGAGCTATCACACCACTGCACTCCAGGCTGGGCAACAGAGACTCCGTCTCAAAAAAAAAAAAAAAAAAAAATCCTCTAGCCTATTAGTGTGATTTCCTCTTGGCTACAAACTGTCATTCTTCTCTCTTCAGGAAGACTTCCCTAATCCTGTAAGACCAAGGATGTGTGCCTTTTCCATAAGCTACAAACCTTCTAATTCCCTATGCCAGGAATGTTCAGGCCATAGATCTCACATTACTAGCTCTTAGTACTATTTAGGGTTCAGCTCAAATGTCAGCTTCTCAGAGAAGCCTTTCCTGGCTACCCAATCCAAGGTTATTTTCTCATTCATCTTTATCACATCCTGTTTTACTATCATCTCATTAATCACTATCTGAAATTAACTGATTAGTATGTTTACTTCTTTCTTTTTTTTTTTCTTTGAGTCAGTTTCACTCTTTTTGCCCAGGCTGGAGCGCAGTGGCATGATCTCAGCTTACCATAACCTCCGCCTCCCAGGTTCAAGCAATTTTCCTGCCTCAGCCTCCCCAGTAGCTGCGATTACAGGCATGCACCATCACGCCCAGCTAATTTTATATCTTAGTAGAGACGGGGTTTCTCCATATTGGTAAGGCTGGTCTGGAACTTCCGACACCTCAGGTGATCTGCCCACCTCAGCCTCCCAAAGTGCTGGGATTACAGGCATGAGCCACCACACCTGGCCCCTATTAGGTTTACTTATTTCTTACATACACTTACCACTCCCACCCACACCAGGATATAAACTCAATGAGAAATGTAATTTAGCTTTGTTCGCTACAGAATCTCTAATGCCTACAACACTTCCTAGCACAAAGAGGTGCTGAATAAATGCTTTATGAATAACAATGAATGGCCTCTACTGCCTGTACTTTACCTATCAGAGTATTTTTCATATTTTATCATATTACTTATTAATTTGTCTATCTTTCTCAATTGATTGTAGGATCTTTGGAAGCTGGAACCATGTCTGCCTACTCACCACTGTAATCCCACTGTACAGCACAGTATCCACACACAGAGTTATAAAATAATATAGCAGGCTATGAATGGAAAAAGGAAGGAACGAAAGAAGGAAGGAAGGTAGGTAGGTCAGTCTTGCTCTTGGGACAGAGTAAGACCTCATCTCAAAAAAAAAAAAAAAAAAATTAACAAAAACCACAGGAGTTAGTCTGCCATTTCACTGACATGCCAAAAATAAGAGGGGACATAAAAAGTCCAGAAAATCAAAAACTTTATGCATATTAAAAAACAAAACAAGGAAGGAAGGAGAGAAGGAGGGAGAGAGAGAGAGAGGGAGGGAGGGAGGGAGAGGAGGGAGGGAGGGAGGATCTGGAATAAAAGAAAGATTAGAGTGCAAATAGAGGCTTTCGAACACATTATTTTATAAACTTTTGTATCATTTTGTGCATATACACATATATAATGTATGTCTGTAAAAATTTTTTTTTACTGTGAGTTACAATGCAAAGTTTTGAAAACTCTACACTAAATTCCAAAGCAGCGTACAACTCACTCAGCCACTTTATCATTTATTGCAATGGTTCTCAATTTTTATTTTTTTAACCATAACCTCCTTGAGGAAAAATAGCTTAAATGTTTTTCTTTTTTACTATGAGTTATAATCCAAAGTTCTGAAAATACTACACTAAATTCCAAAGCAGTTTACAACTCAGTCAGCTACTTTGTCATTTACTGCAATGGTTCTCAATTTTTATTTTTTTAACCATAATCTCCCATTGGGAAAAACAGCTCAAGATAGCAGATGAAAAAAACTCATCTACTATTCTCTTCTATCTAACAATTTTCATATGGATTGTTCCTAAATCCGTAACAATTTTAAGTTATTTGAAGACAGAGCTGCTTTCTCCATTATTGCCCTCACAGTGTTTAGCAAGATATTAGCACATTCGGTAGGTACTTGAAAGTCAACTGCCAGTTGCCCTCCTCAATAATTACATTAAAAAGAACAAAAACTAGCCAGGCATGGTGGCACACATCTGTAGTCTCAACTATAAACGCCTGTAATCCCAGCTACTCAGGAGGCTGAGGCAGGACAATCTCTTGAACCCAGGAGGCAGAGGCTGCAGTCAGCTGAGATCACACCACTGCACTCCAGCCTGGGCGACAGAGCAAGACCCCATCTCAAAAAGAAAAAAAAAAATTAACAAAAACTACAGGAGTTAGTCTGCCATTTCACTGACATACCAAAAATAAGTGAGGACAAAGAAAGTCCAGAAAACCAAAAACCCTATGCATATTAAAAAAATAATAAAGAAAGAAACAAATCTAAGTACATGTTGTATATTAAGTCTTGCTGAATGCTACAATGGCAAAATCTAGTGCATGAATCATCTGGATCAAATTATGCTCTCTGAAGGGATGAAAAACAAAATAAGCTCTGGGTTTTTTTTTGTTTGTTTGTTTGTTTTGGGATGGTGTTTCGCTCGTTACCCAGGCTGGAGTGCAATGGCGCGATCTCGGCTCACCGCAACCTCCGCCTCCTGGGTTCAGGCAATTCTCCTGCCTCAGCTTCCTGAGTAACTGGGATTACAGGCACGCGCCACCATGCCCAGCTAATGTTTTTTGTATTTTTAGTAGAGACGGGGTTTCACCGTGTTGACCAGGATGGTCTCGATCTCTTGACCTTGTGATCCACCCGCCTCGGCCTCCCAAAGTGCTGGGATTACAGGCTTGAGCCACCGCGCCCGGCCAAGCTCTGTTTTTTAGAGCTAGTTGTAGATAGCACTTTTTTTTTTTGAGACAGTGTTTCACTGTGTTGCCCAGACTGGAGTGCAGTGGCACAATTTCTGCAACCTCCGTCTCCCAGGCTCAAGTGAGTCTCCTGCCTCAGCCTCCCGAGTAGCTGGGATTAAAGGCACACACCACTACCGTCTGCCTAATTTTTGTATTTTTCAGTAGAGACGGGGTTTCACCAGGTTGGCCAGGCTGGTCTTGAACTTCTGACCTCAAATGACCACGCACCGGCCTCCCAAAGTGCTGGGATTACAGGTATGAGCCACCCCGGCCAAGGTAGCACTTTTTAAACTACAGTATTTAGAAGTAGAACCAAAAGGTTAAAAATTTAACACAGAGTTGAATTTTACCCATTCTGATCACCTAAGTCCATATATTTTCAATTCATCTTTGTTACTGACTTATCATGGACCATCCTAAACATCTCTCCCATATCTAATAATTTAAAAAATAGATGCTCAAGCCAGGTGCAGTGGCTCCCAGCACTGTAATCCAAGTACTTGGGAGGCTGAAGTGGGAGGATCTCTTGAGCCCAGGAGACCAGCCTGGGCAACATAGCAAGTCTCTAAAAAAATAATAATAATAATGTAAAAAAATAAATAAAAAATAGATGTTCATCTCTCACTCATAGGAATAGATCAATAAAAGTGCTATATGTATTTTCCTCTTTGGTCAGCTAAAATGGAAGCTAGGAAAATTCAGAGAATGATGTTCTCAAGATACCAAAAATTAGAAGGGACACTACTGTCCACCTTTCCAACTCTTGGCTGTAGTTAAATTAATCTGGACATTGGCTGTAGTTAACTACAACTACCTGCTTAACCACAGCACTCATCATGTGCCACATTTTGATACAATTATTCTCATTCATTCTTTGAGAATCTATTCATGGCAGGTCCTGTGCTAAATGTGAGCAGAAAAGTCTCCATCTTGTTGTACTCCCAGCACTTTGGGAAGCCAAGGAAGGGAGGATGGCTTGAGGCCAGGAGTTCAAGGCCAGCTTGGGAAACACAGCAAGACTCCTTCACTACCAAAAATTTTTAAAAATTAGCCATCCATGCCGGACACGGTGGCACGTGCCTGTAGTCCCAGCTACTCCGGAGGCTGAGGTGGGAGGATCGCTTGGGCCCAGGAGTTCTGGACTGTAGTACGCTATGCCCATCGGGTGTCCACACTAAGTTCGGCATTAATATGGTGACCTCCCAGGAGCGGGGGACCACCAGGTTGCCTAAGGAGGGGTGAACCGGCCCAGGTCGGAAATGGAGCAGGTCAAAACTCCCATGCTGATCAGTAGTGGGATGCACCTGTGAATAGCCATTGCACTCCAGCCTGGGCAACATAGCGAGATCCCATTTCTAAAAATAAAATAAAATAAATAAAAAATTAGCCACCCATGGTGGTGCATGCCTATAGTCCTAGCTGCTTGAGAGGCTGAGGCAAGAGCATCGCTTGAGCCCAGGACTTCAAGGTTACAGTGAGCTATGACTGCACCATTACACTCCATCGTGGGCAACAGGGCAAGACCCTGTCTCAACAAGACCGTTTCAAGTCTCCCTGAAATGTTCGCAGCCTAGAGGACAAACAGAAACATCCAGTCAATCAACCAGTATTTACTAAGTGACTACAATTTTGAAATTATTGCTTTAACAAAGGCAAGTAGGTTCAGCTCAAAACTTGTTCATACATATCTCATGTGGCTGTTATAAGTATGTTGCTCTTGTTTTTCCAATCTGACTAAACCTATTTCCAATGCAGGGACTGTCTCCTCTTATAATCTCACAAGCCCATGCAAAGGGCTGGGCACAAAGCAGGGACTCGGCAAGTCTCATGAAAAAGAACTGTTGAGAAAGAATACAGGTCCCTGACTCTTCCCAGTCCCCATCTTGTCAGGTGTCTCGGCCACCCTTCTTTGATTCAGTATCTCCTTCCATGAAGGAAAAGAAACTGAAGGAAAGGTGCCGTCTGGGATGTTTTTTCCACCCCACACTCCTAGCTTCACCCCACAAAAGAGATCAGTAAACTGACAGGTGCCTATGTAGGGTAAAGAGTACCCCTCCTTCTTTCCTAGCTGCCCGCCCCCCCCACACACTCTCTCTCTCACACACACACACACACACACACACACACACACACACACACACCCCCCCCCTCTGTGCCTAAGACAGCTCACCAGCCCCACGGTTTTCCAATCAAACTGCGTTATCAGCTATCAGTGACTTTGGGTCAGTCGCCGAAACCTCGCTCTGAGCTTTAGTTTCCTCATCTATAAAGCGGAGCTAATAATTCCTCTCTCGGAGGCTTGGAGTGAAGAATAAAATAGTGCCTGGAAAGTGCTCGGCATACGCAGTAACTACTCGATGCAAGGTAGGTGTTATCCTTTTGAAAGGTGGCAGGATGACAAAGCCGAGAGGGCACAGCCCGAAGGCCCGAAAGAGATTGGGGCAGGCTTACTGAAGACAGAAGACCCAGCTAGCTGACAGGGCGGAAGGCCGAGGCGGGAAAGGCGGGAAAGGCGGGAAGCTGCGGAGGCGGGCGGCCAGGCTAGGGTACAACTCCGGCTGCTGCAGCCCGCATCCCCTCACCTCCCTTCTCGCCCACTTCGTCGCCTCCTCACCTCGCTTGATCACATGCATCGCTGCTAGTGGCTGAGGCTCTGAAGGATACAAGACGGGACTGCAGCTCTAAAGCGCCAGCAGGATCGAGAAGGTGACAGAATGGAAAGGACTGGGTTCACAGGCGCTGCTCAGGCGCTGCTCAGACGCTGCTCAGACGCTGGAACTGGCGTTGGGGGCCAGACAGCACTTTCTTCTCCACAGCAGAGGCGCAACAATCCAAATCCCCTTCCCGCGCCCGCCACCCGTGACGCACAAAGCGGCGCGACCGGGTTCAAATGACGTTACTCGACGCTGAGGCACACGCCCGGGATAGGCTTCTCAGACTAGGAGGAGCCATGAGGACGCCATGTTGAGTTTGGGCAAGACACAGACGACTACGCCTCTCCCATAGGCAAGACACAGAAGACTACGCCTCTCCCATAGGCAAGACACAGAAGACTACGCCTCTCCCTTGGGCCCCATTGGAGGTGGACATGCCCGGGTGGAAACGCTGCTCTCCTGCCGCCATGTTTTGTGCGGGCAAGCAGAATTGGGGTATCTCGGGCCCCTGTCTAGAACGTAGAGCCCTCAAGGCCAGGCCCTGCCTCCTTTCTTGCCTGCACGTCTTCGCCGGAGGGAAGACGATTCACCTATTTTATTTCTGAAATAACAAAACCTAACCGGCGGGAACATTCTTCTTGCTTTGACATTTATTTATTTACTTATTTATTTTATTTTATTTATTTATTTATGACGGAGTCTTGCTCTGACGCCAGGCTAGAGTGCAGTGGCGCGATCTCAGCTCACTGCAACCTACGCCTCCCGGTTCAAGCGATTCTCCTGCCTCAGCCTCCCGAGTACAGGCGCGCGCCACCATGCTAATTTTTGTACTTGTAGTAGATTCGGGATTTCACCATGTTGGCCAGGATGGTCTCTATCTCTTGACCTCGTGATTGGCCCCCCTCGGCCTCCCACAGTGCTGCGATTACAGGCCTGAACCAATGCGCCTCTTTGACGTTTATTATAATAACCCTCATACTGTCTTCCCTGCGGGCTCCCGCCTAGGCTCCACAGCCAGGGCAGCTTGGAGCCCCAGGGGTTTTAGCTTAGCCAAAAGACTGGCACTCAGTAACTGTAAGAAAACTGTGTAAGGCCTATGGCCTTTGGATTTCATCCTGACGCAAATCAGAGCCCTGACAGAATTTTAAGCAGGGCAGGGTCAGGACCCATTTGCTTTTAGGGCTCTCCAGTGGGTGGTGGCAGAGACAGGGTATTTGCCTTGTGGAGGTAGGTTGGACTTGGTGGCTTAACGTGAAGAATAAGAATAGATGAGAGCCCTATTATAAAAGGCTGGTGTAGAAGCTTCTGATTTAAGCTACCCAAAGCAATCTTTATGAAATTTCATCTGTGGCATCTTTTCCCTAAAGCCTTTTCATTGGCGTTATAGTTAACCCCAAGTTTCCCTTCAAACAATCAGTATGTCAGTATGTTCAGCTCTCTTACTATTTAATTCTCGATTTTAAAGTTTAACTTCTTTGTAATTCCAGTAAACAACCTTCTCCTCCGGTTCTAATTGGTAGTTCACATCTGTTCCTGGCCCGGGATCCATCCTGACTCATCCTGGTCACCTGCTCTGGTCACCTTTTTTTTTTTTTTAATTATACTTTTATAAGTTCTGGGGTACATGTGCAGATTATGCAGGATTGTTACACATGCCATGGTGGTTTGCTGCATCCATTTTCCCCGCCCCCGTCATCTACATTAGGTATTTCTCCTAATGTTATCCCTCCCCAATCCCCCCACCCGCTGCTATACCTCCCCTACCCCCCACCCCCAACAGGCCCCAGTGTGTGATGTTCCCCTCCCTGTGTCCATGTGTTCTCATTGTTCAACACCCACTTATAAGTGAGATCATCCAGTGTTTGGTTTTCTGTTCTTATGTCAGTTTGCTGAGAATGATGGTTTCCAGCTTCATCCATGTCCCTGCATAGGACAGGAACTCATCCTTTTTTGTGGCTGCATAGTATTCCACGGTGTATATGTGCCACATTTTCTTTATCCAGTCTATCACTGATGGGCATTTGGGTTGGTTCCAAGTCTTTGCTATTGTGAACAGTGTGCAATAAGCATACACATGTTTTGCCAACACCATTTATTAAATAGGGAATCCTTTCGCCATTGCTTGTTTTTGTCAGGTTTGTCAAAGATCAGATGGTTGTAGATGTGTGGTGTTACTTCCGAGGCCTCTGTTCTGTTCCATTGGTCTATATCTCCGTTTTGGTGCCAGTACCATGCTGTTTTGATTACTGTAGCCTTGTAGTATAGTCCGAAGTCACGTGTATGCCTTCAGCTGTGTGTGTGTGTGTGTGTGTGTGTGTGTGTGTGTGTGTGTGTTTCTGCTTAGGATTGTCTTGGCTATGCAGGCTCTTTTTAGTTCTATATGAAGTTTAAGGTGGTTTTTTTCCAGTTCTGTGAAGAAGGTCAATGGCAGCTTGATGGGGATAGCATTTAATCTATAAATTACTTTGGGCAATGTAGCCATTTTCATGATATTGATTCTTCCTATCCATTACCATGCAATGTTTTTCCATCTGTTTGTGTCCTTTCTTATTTCCTTGAGCAGTGGTTTGTAGTTCTCCTTGAAGAGGATGTCTTTGTTTGTGTGTGTGGATGTCTTTCACATCCCTTGTTAGTTGTATTCCTAGGTATTTAATTCTCATTGTAGCAATTGTGCATGGGATTTCACTCATTATTTGGCTCTCTGTTTGTCTGTTATTGGTGTATAGGAATACTTGTGATTTTTGCATATTGGTTTTGTATCCTGAGACTTTACTGAAGTTGCTTATCAGCTTAAGGAGATTTTGGGCTGAAACTATAAGGTCTTCTAAATATACAATCATGTCGTCTGCAGAAAGAGAAAATTAGACTTCCTCTTTTCCTAATTGAATATCCTTTATTTCTTTTTCTTGCCTGATTGCTCTGTCCAGAACTTCCAATACTGTGTTGAATAGGGGTGGTGAGAGAGGGCACCCTTGTCTTGTGCCAGTTTTCAATGGGAACACTTCGTTTTTGCCCATTCAGTATGATATTGGCTGTGGGGTTGTCACAAATAGCTTTTATTATTTTGAGATATGGTCCATTGATACCTAGTTTATTGAGAGTTTTTAGCATAAAGGGCTGTTGAATTTTGTTGAAATTCAATAAACCGAGATAATCGTGTGGTTTTTGTCTTTGGTTCTTTTTATGTGATGGATTACATTTATAGATTTGCATATGTTAAACCAGCCTTGCATCCCAAGGATGAAGCCAACTTGATCGTGGTGGATTACCTTTTTGATGTGCTGTTGGATTTGGTTTGCCAATATTTTATTGAAGATTTTTGCATCAATGTTTATTATGGTTATTGGCCTGCAATTTTCTTTTTTAGTTGCGTCTCTGCCAGGTTTTGCTATCAGAATGATGTTGGCCTCATAAAATGAGTTAGGGAGAATTCCCTCTTTTTGTATTGTTTGGAATAGTTTCAAAAGGAATGGTACCAGCTCCTCCTTGTACCTCTGGTAGAATTCGGCTGTGAATCCATCTGGTCCTGGACTTTTTTTGGTTGGTAGGCTATTAATTGCTGCCTCAACTTCAGACCTTATTATTGGTCTATTCAGGGATTCAACTTCCTCCTGGTTTAGTCTTGGGAGGGTGTTAGTGTCCAGGAATTTCTCCATTTCTTCTAGATTTACTGGTTTATGTGCGTAGAGGTGTTTGTAGTAATCTCTGATGGTAGTTTGTATTTCTGTGGAATTGGTGGTGATATCCCCTCCCTCATATTTTATTGCATCTATTCGATTCTTCTTTCTTATTAGTCTGGCTAGCGGTCTATCTATTTTGTTGATCTTTTCAAAAAACCACCTCCTGGATTTCTTGATAAGGGTTTTTTGTGTCCTTATCTCCTTCAGTTCTGCTCTCATCTTACTTATTTCTTGTCTTCTGCTAGCTTTTGAATTTATCTTCCTCCTCTAGTTCTTTTAATTTTGTGACATTAGGGTGTCAATTTTAAATCTTTCCTTGCTTCTCATGTGGGCATTTAGTGCTATAAATTTCCCTCTAGACACTGCTTTAAATGTGTCCCAGAGATTCTGGTACATTGTGTCTTTGTTCCGATTGGTGTCAAAGAACATCTTTATTTCTGCCTTCATTTCATTATTTATCCAGTAGTCATTCAGGAGAAGGTTGTTCAGTTTCCATGTAGTTGTGCAGTTTTGAGTGTGTTTCTTAATCCTGAGTTCTAATTTGATTGCACTGTGGTCTGAGAGACTGTTATGATTTCCGTTCTTTTGCATTTGCTGAGGAGTGATCTACTTCCAATTATGTAGTCAGTTTTAGAGTAAGTGTGATGTGGTACTGAGAAGAATGTATATTCTGTGGATTTGGGGTGGAGAGTTCTGTAGATGTCTATTAGGTCTGCTTGGTCCAGATCTGAGTTCAAGTCCTGGATATCCTCATTAAGTTTCTGTCTCATTGATCTGACTAATATTGACAGTGGAGTGTTTAAGTCTACCACTATTATTGTGTGTGAGTCTAAGTCTCTTTGTGGGTCATTAAGAACTTGCTTTATGTATCTGGGTGCTCCTTCCAGTCACTTTCTTTGACCTAGGTCAGCCCTGGCTACCTGCTCTGACCCACCCACCGTCCTTCCCACCAAAACACCCACCCTGCCACTAGAGCTCAGACCCCTTCTCTCTTTAACATAGCCAATCAGGATTAGTCTAGCTTGTGTAGTCTAACCCTAGCCAATAGGGGAATGACACAACAGTAGGAGACCCCATCAGACATAAGTACCCCTTCCCCCCTTGTCCAAGTGTTCAGCCACCATTATTCCATCCATGAGCTGCACCTTACTATAGAAGTAAACTGCCTTGCTGACAGGATTTATCTTCAAGTGCTATTTCTTTTGTGGCATTGAAATTTTACTTATAACATTGGTTTCTCACTGCCCTCCAGAAGCTGCCCAAGCTCCCTGTAAAGTAATTTCAAAAATCATAGAAAGTTACAAGTCAGCTTGTAATCGCAGCATTTTGGGAGGCTAAGGCAAGAGGATCATGTGAAGCCATGTGTTTGAGATCAGCCTGGGCAACATAGTGAGACCGCATCTCTACAAAAAATAGAAAACTTAGATATATGTTTTTTAAAAGTCATAAGTTATAGGATAGATAGGGTGAAGTTTACCCAGACATAGGGTTTCCCGATTTAGCAAATAAAAATGTGTCCCATACACACTGGGGTCAGTTGGGGGGAAATAGGGGAGGGACGGTGGGGGGTGGGAAGCTGGGGAGAGATAGCAAGGGGAGAAATGCCAGATGTAGGTGATGGGGAGGAAGGCAGCAAATCACACTGCCACGTGTGTTCCTATGCAACAATTTTGCATGTTCTTCGCATGTACCCCAAAACCTAAAATGCAATAAAATAAATAAATGGGAAAATAAATAAATAAATAAAAAAAAAAATGTAAAAAAAAAAAAATGTGTCCCAGATACTGCATGAGAGAAAATTATACTTAAAAAACTGTTGAACTGAAATTCAAATTTAGCTGGCCATCCTGCATTTTATCTGGTAACCCTGCCCACAGAGCTTTTGGGTATGGGCATTCAAGTTTCATTTTCCCTGGGCAAAGGAAAGATAATCTCTTCATCCCATCATGCCACAGCACAAAGAACACAATGAGAGTCAAAGCCAGAAGAGGTTAAAATTTCCTACATGCTTTATTGGACTCCAAAGATTCTTATGAAATAACACAGAAAACCCCATTTGAGGATGTCCAGGGAGTACAAGGCAGTGTGTAGCCTAGCAACCTCCTAAGACCAGCCCCAGGTGCAACCACCCCAGGCCCAAAATAGGATCCCAGGATAAAGGCATGGCAGGGAGTGGGGCAGAGGGAAAATACATTTACAGCCATAGCAAAAACAGGTAAAGAAGAGAGTTGTCTAGAGGGTGGGAAGGGTGGGGGAAGTGGTCACACAGCCACCTTCACCTATACCATCTTCCTTAGCCACTCCTTCCCCAAACTGGTTGTGTCTTTTTGAGCCTCTGGCCAAGGCTACGAAGTAACATGAAAATGGGATCTGACGAGGGAAGTATGCAGTTTAGGCACTTGGGAAATTCAGATTTCTTTTTTACGTTTAACCTGTTTGTCTTTTGGTTCAAAAATATGACAGCATCTTTGCCCAACAACTCCAGGGCTCCATAAGAGCCCTGTATCATGGCTGTGGCTCCCCTAGCCAGGGGAGCCATTTGTCCTGAGCCCCAGGAGTATTGATGCTTGGGGAGCTTTGGGGCAGCACCTCTTAGAGACAAACCCTCCTGCAGTGTGGGGGAGCAGGGGTAAGAGGGAGGCAGGTGTGGGTGGGAGGAGAGAGAAAAAGTGACTGCCTTATAACCCACAGTTCTGGCATCCACTCATGCTCCAATGAAGAGAGGCCTCTTCTAACCCATCCCCAAGCCTAGCCTCTTTAAATGTCTCTGGTAGGTTGTTCTCTGAGAATTGGTTTCACTCCCCCATGAACCCCTGGAGGCCTGAGTGAAATCTAGGATGAGGCTCCTTCTAACCCCCAGCAATACCGAAGAACAAACCCCAAAGGTAAGGCCCTAGTCCCAGTCTGGAGCAAAAAGAACCACTGTGAGTGGGGTGGAACAGACCTGAGGCACACAAGTCAGAAGTTACTCCTCCTATCTTCCCTGCAACTGCTAGGGAAAGTTGGGGAGTGGTGGGAGGGAGGGGACTGAAAGCAAGAGACAGAAACAAGAAACCAAACCTTAAAACTGGGACAGCAGAGACAGAAGCTGTACCCCAGAGGTGGAGCTGGGAGCTGAGGGGACAGCAAATAAGACATGCACTGAAGTGGAGAGGGAGTGACAGCAGCAGCCCATGGTTGGGAGGGAGGCAGGGCAGGCAGGCCATGGTGGTCAGTTAATAAATAATAATGAAGGACCCAAAGATGAGGGGGCAGGTATGTACAGTGCCCAGGCCCCTGGACCAGCCCTTCCTATGGCCCACTCTTGGGGCCAGTTATCTTGAAGGAAGGGAGAAAAGGAGAGGCAGAAGACCCAGGGAAGGACAAGCTGTCCCATTACTGCCACCCCCATCCTGCCTACTTCTTAAGAGGCTTCTTAAAGATTTTGAGAGGAAACTTCTTCCGGCCTGGGCTGGAGTCTGTCTCCTCGCCAATAGAGCCATTATCCTCCTCAGCCACAACCTTCTTGCCGGCCAGGTGGGGAATGCGTGTGTTTCGGCTGGCTTGCAGGGCTCGGCTGTCCCCAATTGGAGATGGCGTGTCTGGGTCTGGGGAACTGGGGCTGTGAGAACGGGAAGAATCCAAATGTGGAGAGCCACCAGGAGGGGCTGAGGGGCTCAGCTCCATCAGGCTGTGGGCCTTGTCCAGCCCATGGTTCAGCGCCAGTAATGCCTTCTTGGCCAGGGCAGGGCTGTCAGGCAGTTTCTCCACTAGAGACCCTGGGTGGACCCCCTCGATCAGCCGGTGGCTGCCATTGGAAGTCATGGCATTGAGAGCCTCATCTGCAGCACGGCTCATCTGAGGAGGTTTGGGGGCCACACGCTGGCGGTCACTCATATGGAGGGAGGACTCCGAATCGGAATGGGTCAAATCCCTGCAAGACATTGGGCAGAGGGGAAGAAAGGGACATATTGGATAGGGAGATGGGGGAAGGGTGAAGAGGAGAGAGGGACAACATGAGAAGACAAGGACAGGGTAGGAAAATTGGGATAGAGTGGCAGGAGAGAGAAACAGGATAAACAAGCAGGTGGGAAGGAGAGAGGAAAGGGGAACAGATGGAAGTTGAGCAGCCGTAAGTACAGGATAAGAAAAGAGACAGGAAAAGGAAAGGAGAATTGTGGAGGAAGAAAAGCGAAAGGATAAGCAGGTAGAAAGAAGGGCCAAGAAAAAAGACAAGAAAGGGAAAAGTGATGGGAAGGGAGGGAAGAAATAGACAAGAAACAAAAACAAATGTCATCATACCATCATCTGTCTGGCAAATGGCTTTCCAATACCTGGGCCGCACCACTGTTGAATGTTCTGGCTCTGAACTGGTGTAACTATAGGCTTAAATTCCACAGGCATCCTCCTCAATAAAATCTCTGCCTTCTCATAGCTGGCTAGATTTCCTGGGATTCAACCTTAAGCTAATGCAGAACCTACATACTGCTCCGAGTCACCATTTTCCATGCCTTCCTCCCCCACATACTCCTGTCACACCTTAGGATATTATCCAGTCTAGGTCAGACCCCAAGGAACAAGGCACGTGCAGTCAGTGGACCTGACCCAGGCTGGGGATGAGAAGGTTAGAACAGCCTTGCAAACAATCCCTCACCCACCCCAAAAGGCCAGAATGCTGCCTCTTCTAACCATCTCAAAGGATTCAAAGGAGGTCATAGATAGGTATTGTAGAGATCAAGCCAAAGTCTGTGGTGCAACAGGAAGTGTGGGGTCTCTTTCACAGCTTTGCTGACAGGGAGAATGTAGGGAGGCATAGAAAGACAGAATGTTGGCCTTTAAAGAGCAATGATTTAGAAGAGCTCTAGATTCTTCTGTGCAATCTTGGACAAATCATCTAATCCTGCTAGTCCTCAACTTTGACCCAATGAAAATAATACCAACTCAATTATCTTACAAGACCCTTTGGAGGATCAAATATGCTGGCAAAGCACTTGAAAATGTACAAATTATTGTGGGAATGAAGATGATGAGGCCACCCAAGCTGAAGGGCCTATGTAGGGGTCAGTTACAAGAAGCTGCTTTGCAAGGCTGAGTTATGGAGATATGCCACCACACACTGGACATGCACACACAGAGGCTAGTCTAGGAACTTGAGACCTTTTAAGGAGCTGGTGGTTCCTATGACCATGAATCAATTCCAGATGCCATTCCCCCTGCCTCTATAGATAAAAAGGTAGATATGGAGGTGCTCTTTCTACCAATCCTGCATCCTCCATCTGCCTTCCTAGAGGCCTGAGAACCTCAGCAAAAGCAGAGAAGAAAGCTAAGGGTAATGTTTAAACATCTGCTACCCAAAGAATAAGAGTCATGAGTGGGAGAGGAGAGCACCATAGGACCTGGGAAGAAAGAGGCTGAGGGTCAGAAGTCAGGGAGGGTACCAGACCCCTGAAACAGGCAAAAGCAGAGGGTTGGCTCATAGCTATTATAGACTTAATTCTCAGTAGGAAGCAAATAACTAAGTAGCCACCCCATGGGCCAGTACTTTCCTGGACTCAGAGAACAATTCCAGCTAAGCTTCCATTCTACAAACACAGTTTCAGCCACATATTCTAGTATTTATGAATATTTGGTCTCATATTTGGTTTCATATATCTAACACAGTCCTTGCTTCTAAACTTGTCCTTGTTTATCTAAGTCCCAGGATGATCCTCTCTATATCTTGCCTTCTCCAAACACATATAAACCAATGAGCAAGGTGCCAAGGAAATTCTGGGGACACCCACACTGAGAAAACAGGTCCTCTAAGCCGAAGAAGTGAAGATCCTGGGATCCTACCCTCTCTAACACCAAGGAAGAGAAATCAGGTTAGAGCCCTCCCAGCCTCACTTCTCCTAGCCCAGACCCCTATTTGGTCTCAATTTCTATCCATCTGTTTGTTTGTTTGTTGACAGGGTCTCGCTCTGTTGCCCAGGCTGGAGTACAATGGCACGATCTCAGCTCAATGCAGCCTCAAACTCCCAGGCTCAAGTGATCCTCCTGCCTCAGCCTCCCATGTAGCTGGGACCACAGGCATGTGCTACCATGCCCAACTAACTTTTTGATTTTTTTTTTTTTTTTTTGAGAGACAGGCTCACTTTGTTTCCCAGGCTGGTCCCAAACTCCTGGACTCAAGCAATCCTCCCTTCCTGGCCTCCCAAAGTGCTAGGATTATAGGCATGAATCACAGAGCCCAGCCTGATTCCTGTCCTTCTATGCCTCCCTCATCATCTAAGAGTTGAGACTACCAAAGCAAGATTGGAACCTGGGAGGAAGCCTAGGGAGATATAGGAGGGAAAAGGCCCAGTGAGGCAGGCTCACCTTCCCTCTCTGAATCATTGAGAACAATTAGGCCAGGGGTCCCTCCCCAAAGGCTGGGCTGCCTCGGACTCCCATCCCAAGCTACTGACCTTACTAGAGAGCCTGTTTGCCTTTAGAGATGATCCTCTGGTGCATGGTGCAAAAGAAAATTAAGTAGTGAACAGGCCAGGTGGATGCAGGTACCTCCCCGCCCTTCCTCCCCACTGCCCTCAGCTTAAGCCTTGGAACATGAAATTCACAGCATCCCCTGGTTTCCCCAACCCAATTTGGTCCTCTCCATCTGTGCTGGAAGGGGTAGTCTCCCTTCTTAGGCTTTTGGATGAAAATGAGAATGAGAGTGGATATGAGTGGCTCTGCTGAGTAATAATCCTAGTAAGGGCAATTCCTTTGTGCAAAAGAAAGGAACAGCCCTCAAGGATAACTATCCAGAGGTTTAAGGGGCAAAGCTGGAGAAATGGGTATCCAGAGTGAGATAGAACTAAAAATAGGCAACAGAGTAAGCAGACTGCAGTCCAGAGGCCAAGACTGGACTGTGGTCACCATTTCAGAGATGAGAAGTACTACCAGAGGGGAAGGACTTTCTGAGGGTCTCCTAAGCTTGTTCCAGGCAAGGTCAAGGCTACTACCTCTGATCCTAGTCTACCATCTTGGGTATTAGCATGAAAAGTCCCTGCAGCTGCCAGACAAAGCTGTGGAAGAAAACCTTTCACCAATTCTTTTCCAGTACACTTTCTGAGACCTTGTGAAATGACAAAAATATCCAATGGAGTATCCCAGAATGGAAACCCAAGTTCTAGTCTGTGCTCTGCTCCCAATTAGCTGTGAGATCTAGAGGGAAATACTTACCCTTTTAGAACCTTAACTCACTATTCTTAAAATGTGTATTTTAATTCCTGCCCCACCTATAAACTCTTCTTGCCCAACACCCCAACCCTATGTCCCCTATCTTGGTTCTCTAATTCCATGAAAGATACTATGTCCATCCAGTCATTCAAGCTATAAACCTGAGTGTCATACTAGATCCTCCCTTTCCTTCACCACTGTAGCCAGTTACCAAATTAATCATGTATTTTTATCCCAAGGCCTCATTACCACCCCTAGTGGTCTACTGGAATGTTTTCCAAATTCCTGTAGTCTTCCTCTTCTTTCCTTCACACAGCCACTAAAATGTTATTTCTAAAATGCAAATGTGACTGATTCCTTTCTCTTAGAAACCCTTTTGCAATTCTCCATCTCCTAAAGGGTAAAGGCCAAAACCTTTGCCTTTCAGAGCCTTCGTCATTTAGCCTCACCCGTTTCGCCTTCCCACCAACACATATCCAGTGTTCAAATCACAAATATATCATATTCTCATGAATCACCATGTCTCTGCATACAGTGTTTCCTCTGCCTGGAATACTCTTTCTCCTTTCTCTTCACATAGGATGTTAGCACAAATTCATCTCTTTGGTGAAGCATTCCACCCAGGTACACACTGTTAGTCACTCCTTCCTCAACACCCCCATAGCACTTAATAAATTTTTCCATACTTATTTAAAATGAGTCTCTCTTAGACAAAATTGTAGTTCTTGATGGCTGGGATTGTGTCTTATCACCGGTGAATCCCTATGCCCGGCAGAGCCTGGCACAGAGTAGGCATTAGTAAATGCTTGTTGAAGGAGTAAAGGAAGTGAGCACCCAACTGAGATAACTAATGTGAAAGTGCATAGTTTAGGCAAAAGTGCTATATAGGGCCATGAGGGAAGGAAGTTGTTACTCATTTTTAGAGTCAGCAAACCCCAAACACGGAAGGGGAGATAGGTGTGGGGAAGTAGGCTGACCTTAAAAAGGAGTCCCAGAGCTGGGAACAAACAGGATAAGAAGAAAATTCCCCACTCCACACATCCCCAGAGTTGATCAAGCAGCAGCTGGCAGGCAGAAACCAAGGTAAAAGCAGCAGAAAGGGAAGGAAGGGAAGAAAAAGAAGAGAGACAGCTGATACCCCAAGCTCTCTGAATGCCCAGGCATCACAGTGGTGCTGTCAGAAGGGGGTGTGTCAGGGTATGGCTCCGTCTGGAGGAAATAGGAAGTGCTGTGGTGGTAGTAAACAGGGTGGACATGGACGGTGGTGATGGTGGTGGTGGTGGCGGTAGTGGTGATGGTAGTGGTAGAAGAGGAGCAAGAAGAAGCAGCAGAGGCAGATGGAGAGCTGGTCCCGTAGCCTTCAGAACTGAAAGACTGTCCAGATGAAAGGCTGCGCATTCGCCGCAGAGATACCCGGCTTGTCAAGAAGTGGCCAGCCTCGCCCTCTACCAACCTCTGAGATCCCAGGCTATGCTGTGGCTCCGTCAGGCGCTGCCGAACACTGCTCTGCAGGCTGGGGGCTGCAAGGAGAATGAAGAAAGTGTGAGGAGGGGCCAGGCTATTTTGGGCTGGCAGGTAAGGAGGTGCCCATGAATAAATGCTTGCTGGAGACCACTCTGGGCCTCTAATGCCAATTTGGAGAATGGGGCACCTCCTCCCAGAAACCTCCCACCAGGGGTCCTAAAAGGATGGGAAATTGAAGATGAGGTGCCCGGGTCAGTTTTAGTGGCAATTCCAATAGAAGGAGACCTATGGCCAATGTCACTATAAAGGGAAGTGGCAAGGCAGTTAGTGGGTAGACACAGGCAAGGAAGGATAAGATAAGGGATTGGGACAAGGTCCAGGAGAGCATTAAGAACCAGCCTTTTCAGAAAGCCAACCTCAGGAAATAATTCACAACTTAGACAAGGACTTATACATAAACATGTTCATCATTATTAATAATTGAATAAGATACATTATTGTTTACTTTTTATTAACTGTATGAAAGTAAACATAAAGAATGAACAATAGGAAAATGATTAATATATCCAGTTTCTGGGAGACTAGAAAGCTATTTAAAATGATGCTTATAAAAAGACTTTAAGAAAATGAAAAAATGCCTATTAAAATAGAGGGGAAAAGGATACAGAATTATATGTACTCATTCCTTGAGCCTTGGAATGTAAAATACTAAAGTTTGAAATCAGGACTTCACCTCTGGTTGTGACCCTGAGAAACTGACTTCCCCATTTTAATTCCTAATTTATAATATCCTGCAGGGTTCTTCTGAGACTTCACAATATTGTCTTTAAGACACCTGAAACAGGTCATTGCACTCAATAAATGTTAGTGGCTATCATTATCTTAACCATATAAAAAAATTTCACAGACAAAAGAGTGGTAGAGAAGGTGTTCAAATATGATGGCACTATGGATGTTTTTATGCTAATATTCATTCTTTTTCACTTTCCAATAAGCACATAAACAACAAAGAACCAGCTCTTGGATCAGGCTGAAAATCGAGGTCCTGGAGATGATGGCCACCATGCCCAGTGAAGAGATACATGGGCACCAAGTAACTTAGGAATATGCTAGTGTATCCCCCTTGGGCTCACTCCCAGCTCCAAGTGAAAGGAGAGTGAAGATCTTTATTCCTTCTCCCCTACCCTGATAGATAGGCTTTTCTGCTTTCTCCCTAAAGAAGAGAGAAAGAGCCAGGTTATAAAGGTAAAAGAAGCCTTGGAAGGGCCACCAGGGCGAGAGCATAGGTCCATAGTGATGGAGATTTCAGAAGGCAAGGCTTCTATGCTGGTAGCTTTCAAGGTATGAAAGAGGGAATGAAGAGGATGAGGAAGCCTGGAATAGGGAGGGGAAGAGGGAAAAAGACGGGAGAAACTAGGAAGAAAAGGGAGAAACAAGAAAAAGAGAAAAGAAAGCAGTGATCTTTTCCTTCCCTCTCTCCCTCCCAGCCCAGATGGAAGAAGGGCTACCACGTTATCTGCATAGCTGGGCTAAAGAGAGAAGCCTAAGCCTTCTATCACCGTAAATATTCTCTATCCAGCTCTTGCCGAGCAGGCTGATTCTTCTTACCCCCGAACCCCACCTGTAGTTAGTAGGGACAGTGCTGAGGGGATACAGGGAGCAAGCAGGGGCATGAAGCAGGCAGGAGAAGGGGCCCATGGGGTAGGAGTGTTGGTTTAGTCCCAAAAGTCAGAAAAACAAATGCCCCAAAGGGGCTCCTCAAACCGGGGTATTTCCAGAGGGACTGATCATCCGAGCCGGCGGATGTAGAGCAGAAAGAGCGGTCACTGAACCTACGCCCCATCAGCCAGGCAGCATCTAGGGTCAACAGCCAGGCCAAAAGGAGAAGAGAATCTGATTTATGGAGGGTTTTGGCCTGCTCATCAATGTAATAAGGGAAGGGTTGGGGGCAGGGACTGGGTAGCTCAGAGCTAATTAAGGTCCCTCCCAGCCTGGAGAACACAGAAGTCTTTAGATCAATAAGTCAGGATCAAGCTCTGCCTGTCATTGATCCTGTCCTTGTTACACCTTTGATTAAAGGCCTAGCAAGTTATCAGATCAGGAGAGCAAAGAGGCTTGGCCAGTGGCAAAGTATTATGGACAAAATTACAAATGAATTCTGTCCGGAGTGGGAATCTGGCCTGATAAAAGAATCTGAAAGTAAGCCCCTAACCCACCCCCGGCCTTCTGCCCTTCCCCTGTACTGGCAGAATATGGGCCTAGGACAATAGCTTTACCATAAGGGCTAGTCTATTAACTTAAAATGGCTTCTCATCCAAAGGAAAATTCAACTGTGGACCAGTAAGGGAAAATTCCCTTCATTTACTGAATAATTCCAGTATTGTTCCTTTTGGCTCTGCTCTACTCAACTCTCATCACTTGCAGGAAAAGAAAGGGAGAGGGAAGACCCAGGACAGAGGAAGAGGGAGGAGGGGGTGGGGTCCAAGAGTTCAGGTGGAAAGCCAGACATGCTTGTGCAGGAGATCCCTCCTGGGCAAGAATGCCTTTCCAGCTTGGAGGATTTAGGGTTGTATCACTTTAAGGGACTACTGTTTTATAGGGTCTCTCACAAAAAGTCAAAGAGAAACACAATTCAATTCATCTACTTTAGCAATTAAGAAAAAGGAACAAAAATTAAAATAAATAAGTTCAATAAATAGTCAAAATGTATGCGATTTTTACATTGAAATTCACTAAAGGAGATTATTTTTTATAAAGGTAGATAGAGTGGCAGTTAGGGAGAATAAAGAGAAAAAGAGTGAAGGAGAGATACTTAGCACAATAGACCCAAAGGGGCATACAAAACATATAAGGAAAGGACATCAAAAGGACAACTATAAAGAAATATCCTGAGCAATTGTGCTTTATTGACCAAGGTCATGAGTTTACTATCTTCCTGGGCATCTGCCCCATCTGCTGTTTAAGCACAATAGAAGCCAAGACTTCTCAACCCATGCATCAAAGGTTCCTTCCTTCATCCCCCGCCAAAGAGGTCACCTACACTGCATGGACAAGGGAGACACAATCTCCTCATCCATGTCATCCACGTCGTCAGTCATAATGAAGTGGGCAGGGTTGGGGCGTGTACTGCCCATCCAGCTGGGGTCTATGTTGAGGGCAGCCACCAGTGAGTGGATGCCTGGGTTATTGACAATCTGGAAGCCACAGAGGATCTCGATCTGTTGCCAGCGGTGCAGGCGCTCCCGCAATGCTGCTGTCACCTCGCTCAGTGCTTGCCTGAAGACAGAGGAAACAGAACTGCAGTCATGGACTTGGTGTGAGACCCAACAGGAATGAAGCCTCTTCTCAGAGGAACAAGTTGGGAGGATATGTATGAATAAAAAACACAATAAACTCATAAGCCTAAGAGCAAGGAGGGAGATAGATCAAGGCTGAGGCAGGAGTCCAGAGCTGTCCCTCCACCAACAAGGAAATGGAATTGGTGTTGGAGGCCCTGTACGCCTTCAAATTCTGAGGATGATATGGACATTGCCAGAGTAGATAACTGGTGTTACTTACTTAGCTGTTAGAATTTTATGATCTACATCATCCAGGGAAGAGCTGTGGGCCACGTGGAAGGTACCAAAGAGTGTGTTTCTCTTCTTTTTTATCTTCTCAGCCTGCAAAGATGAGGCCCCCAGCTCAAAAAGAGCAGGGATTCAAGGTTGGAAAAAATGAGAAAGGCCTTCCTCTATGGTTGGGGCCCACTCCTCCTAGCACAACTTAGGCTGCATAAGGAAAAAGAAGAGAAGGAGGAAAAGGAGAAAGGCAGGCAAAGGGAGAAGAAAAAGGAAAGGGACAAAATAGAGAAAGCAAAGGAAGAAGCAAAGGGGTCCCTGATAGCCCTTTTGTCCCAGGAGGACCTCTGTCCCCATGGCAGCATGCGGCTGGCAGAGCTTTCCTTCTGCCTGCCTCCACTTGCTTCATCTTTCCTAGAAGACAGGCAGGAATGCCCCTGCACCCTTATTCCCTCCTCCAGAAGTCTGAGGACATTGTCAGGAACTGAACATTAGGAAAATAAACAGAACCCACCACCCAATGGGAGGAACTGAGAGAGGGAGAGAAGATCAAGATATGCAGGTAAAAGGGAGAAGGGGAAAAAGGAAAGAAGAGGGCAATAGAAGGGCAGTTCTCACCCCCTCCTTGGCCACCAGCAGCTGCTTCTCAGCATTTTGCTTCTTGATGTTGTAATATTGCACCTCCACCTCATGTGTCAGCTGCAGCCACTTCTGAAGGGCCTCTGGGGCATACCATGAGCTGTGTGATTCTAGCTCCTTCTCTGCTTTCCTCAAGGCCTCCCGAACCTGTGCAGCCAAAAGGATGTGAGTTCATTCACTGATACTAAGACTCTCCAACACCTCTGTATGATGCTTCAGAACTCAGACTTTTTATCCTGCTTTACAACTTTCCCAGGAAGGAGAAAGGGTAAGGATTATTTTCCATATTTCACATAGAAGAAAGCAAGCACAGCAAAGAAAATTAACCAATTCAAAGTCAACAGTGTCAACCAGAACTCAAATTGAGATCTTTTTGTTTCAGATGAAGGCACTCTTTTCTATCACATCAGCTTACTTTCCCAGTCATGCAGCACATTCCAGCAATCTTCCCTGGTCTCTTTAGGAACAGGTCAACTAGTGAATCATCTTCTTACCAAGAGTCAGGGTCTGTGCTTAGACTTCAAGACATCACAGTGTGACAGAAAAAGCATTGGTCAGGAATCTGAAAATCTGGTTCTGGTTCTTGGTCTGTCACTTAACTGGCTGTATGACCCTGTGCTTCCTACATCAGCTCCAAATTCAGTGTGAGGAAAGATTTTTCTCCCATGCAAATCTAAACCACCAGGGAAGGGATGTTCTCAGGAGAGGGTGAGTTCCCTGTCATGGGTGGTATGTGAAGAGCTCATGTCAGAGAAACCTAAAAAATGATTGGTACTTCAGAAGGGCATTGTCCTGAATGCTCTCCAAAGTCTCCTCTAGCCCAGAGACTGTGTCTATGATTCTCTCAAGGAGTAGAGCAAGTGGGCTTTGAAAAGAGCTCTGTACAAGGTGGCAAGACAATGAGCATATCCACACCTAATATGGACATTGCCAACAGAAGCCAAGACATGAGAGGACCAATGTATAAGTAGAAATAACTGACTTCTTTGCAAGGAGCACACAATGAGGCAGTCACAAAGCACAAAAAAGTATAAAAGACTTGAAAGTACATACAGACATTGCATACACAGAATTTCTTGCTGTTTCATCCAGGTTACCACCATAAGTGATCTCCAACTTTCCTACCTGAACACTGATCTTTAGCTGGTCAGAATCCCAGAGAAAAGTCATTGAAAGCAGTCTCATTATCCCCAGCTTCAGCCAATGAGGCAACCATCCCATAGCAAGCCTGAGGTCTTCTCCACAGCCTAAGATAGGCCAGGAGGGCCTCAGCTAAGGACAGAACACCTTTATTCCTTTGAGAGGCAATGAGAGTGCCAATCTTCACTTGGTTTCTGTTCCCTGATAGAATTAGTTGGGCATGCACCACCATGCCCAGCTAAATTTTTTTTTTTTTTTTGGCAGAGATGGGGTTTTGCCATGTTGCCCAGGCTGGTTTCAAACTCCTGGGTTCAAGCGATCTGCCCATCCTTTGCCTCCCAAAGTGCAAGGATTACAGGAGTGAGCTACCATGCCCAGCTAGGAACTTTAAAAAATACAGATATCTGGGCCCCAACCCAGAGATACTGATTTCATTGATCTGGTGTGTTGGCCTGGGCATTAAAATAGGCTCTCCAATTCATTCTAATATGCAGCCAAAGTTAATAAACACACACATTTAAATAAAGTGGGGTGTGTGTGTGTGTGTGTGTGTGTGTGTGTGTCTGTGTGTGTCTGTGTCTGTGTGTGTGTGTTTAAAGAATGGGTTTCTCCATGATGGCCAGGCTGGTCTTGAACTCCTGACCTCAGGTGATCCACCCCACCTCTGCCTCCCAAAGTGCTAGGATTACAGGCATGAGCCACCACTCCCGGCCGTGTGTGTTTAAATAAAGTGTTATCACCTGACTTCCACTTCCCAGTAGGATAAAGTACATCATGGGAGAAAAACAATTCTGATTCAACACAAAATCTGGAAAAAGCTGTATAAATTATAAAAATTGTGTTTTCAAAATTGTTTTTATTTTGAAAACTTTAGTCATTTTTCATAAAATATGTTATTTGTGTTAATATATAAGGGGGTTGATATAGTTTTTTTCATTTTTTATTTTTTTTTGAGATGCGAATCATGCTCTGTCACCCAGGCTGGAGTGCAGTGGTGCAATCTTGGCTCACTGCAACCTTTGCCTCCTGGGTTCAAGCGATTCTCCTGCCTCAGCCTCCTGAGTAGCTAGGATTACAGGTGCTCGCCACCACGCCCAGCTAATTCTTATATTTTTAGTAGAAACGGGGTTTTGCTATGTTGGCAAGTCTGGTCTCAAACTCCTGACCTCAAGTGATCTGCCCACTTCAGCCTCCCAAAGCCCTGGGATTACAGGCATGAGCAACCATGCCCGGCCTGATATAGTTATTTTAAATGAATTAATAAATATTTTTTAATTTTCTCAGTTGTAATTTCTAATAGGTTAAATATCAACAGTATTACCCCCTATAAAAATGTACTTTGAAGTCCTAAATAGTTTTTTTGTTTGAGACGGAATCTTGCTCTGTCACTCAGGCTGGAGTGGAGTGGCCTGATCTCAGCTCACTACAACCTCCATCTTCCGGGTTCAAGCAATTCTCCTGCCTCAGCCTCCCGAGTAGTTGGGACTACAGGTGCCTGCCACCATGCCCTACTAATTTTTGTATCTTTAGTAGAGAGGAGGTTTCATCATGTTGGTTAGGCTGGTCTTGAACTCCTGACCTCAGGTGATCCGCCTGCCTTGGCCTCTCAAAGTTCTGGAATTACAAGCATGAACCACCACACTTGGCCAGGATGCTTTACTCTTAAAAACTAGGGGCCGGGCACGGTGGTTCACGCCTGTAATCCCAGTACTCTGGGGGGTCGAGGCGGACAGATCACAAAGTCAAGAGATCAAGACCATCCTGGCCAACATGGTGAAACCCCGTCTCTACTAAAAAATACAAAAATTAGCTGGGCTTGGAGGCATGTGCCTGTAGTCCCAGCTACTCGGGAGGCTGAGGCAGGAGAACTGCTTGAACCCGGGAGGCGGAGGCTGCAGTGAGCCAGGATCA